CCCCCACCTCCAGCAGCTTGCGCTGGAGCCCATGGTTCTCTGCTCTGAGGCCGCCTGTGTTGGACGGTCAACCAAACATCCTGAGTGTCCCTGGATGGTCCTGCTTTTATTGTCCTCGTGCTTAATCATCTATCTAATGCAGCAGCCACTAGCCACATGTAACTTTAACGTTCTATTAAATTTATGTTTATATTTTCTTGTATTACATATAAATGTATATTAATAAAAATTAAATAAACATTTAGATACCTTTCAAGTGCCCAACTTCCACATTTGGCAGGTGGCCACTGTATTGGACAGCAGACAGAGAACATTTCCATCGTTGCAGGACATTCTCTTGGATGGCGCTGCTCTGTTCAGCCAGGAACTCCAGTATATCGGCATCTAAGCCACATCTCAGACTGTTTCTTCCTCCTAGGTCAAGCTTCCTTGACCTTTCAAGTGAATCCATTTGAGTTCCAAAAAGTTCTGTCGGGGCCTGTTGGGATGAGAGCCCACCTAGCAAAGGATGCCCCTGGAGAGCCATCTCCTATAAAATTCACCGTCACCAAGGTTGAATGCTGGCTATTCCTACACAGGGGGGCGTGCAGGACATCTTTGATGTGTGTGATCCTCAGGACTTCATCCCATTGCAAAGGAGAGAACTTGGTGTCCCTTCATTTCATCCCAGCCATCGGCCTTGGCAGCCTGGTGTGACTGGACGTGGAGTCCAGTGGTGGCGGGAGGGAGGAAGGTGCAGGGCTGGGAGATCAGGGCTGCAGATGAAGGCTCCTAGACCAGCCCTGCCCTGGGGTAAGGGTGGGAAATGCCTCTGAGAGCATTCCCTGCTTTCTGTCTTGCCCTCTTAGAGATGAGCCTTTGCTGCAGAGGGAAGGAGAGAAAAGGATTTTATTTATTTATTTATTTTTTTGCCTGTCTGCAGTCCAGAGAGAAGTCCAACTTTGGGGTAAGAGGTTTAACCAGAAACAGTTTCTTTCTGGAACAGGGGCAGTTCTTTATTTCCTGCCAGTCCCTGCAGGCAAACGCATGCCAGGCCAGCCTGCCACCTCAGCCCTACCTGTCATGTGCTTGGCAAGTCTGACTTGAGTCCTTTTTTCCACTGCCTTCCCCACCCCATCAAATTGCAGTTGCAACCTCTCATTTTTCTGCTGCCTAGATGATTAAAAAGCATGACTTAGTGGAAAAATGTTGACCTCCTTGGGGTCAGCCTCTTAAGCAGCTGTCGGAGATAAGATTGGCTGGAAAATACTCAGCAATGCTTTGCAAGGCTTTCTTGTCTGTCTGTAAGGAAACAAGAAGCTGTTTGGTTCTGGGTACTTTTTATTTGTTTTTGGAGAGGGCCTCAATTTCCAGAGACAAATTGGCATAATCTGATGATAAAACAGAATCTCTGATGGAAGGGTCAGATTAATTATTAAAGTGATTTTTAAAAATCCAATTAAAAGGCTTTGTAAAAAAAAAAAAAACTTTTTTTAATGGTGCCTGCTTTTGCAATTCAGGGAGCAAAGTTCTCTGGCAGCTAAGCAGTATCAGAAGTTCAATGCTCAGACTTCCCCCGAGGAATTAAAAGACTTAATTGTACGGCTCTTGGTATGAACAGCATTGTTTGGAATTATTTTTAATTACTGTGCTAGTATTACTGCCCCTTGCTTGGAGATTGGATACTTACTGTAGTCCTGTTGAAACTGCTCCAAAGAGGACATTACAATTTGAATTTAGCTTATGTCCTCAAAGCATTTTATCATCTTTATCATTTGCCAAGAACTTGTACCTATCTAGTGAGACAAAAAGATAAATCTACTTTTTAAAAGGAGAAACTGAGGCTTCTGGGGTTACACAGTTGATGGCAAGGACATAGTGAGCACCTGGGCTCCCGTAGCTTCACCTAGTATGTCATCACATGAACACTTCACCTGATGGGTTTGGGTCCCAGTTCAGCCACTTCCTAGGTATGTGGCCATGAGCAAGTCACATGCTCTATCTGTGCTTCAGTTTTGTCATATAAAACAGAGCTCACACGTAACCCCACTTATCCACGGGGAATATGTTCCAAGAGGCACAGTAGATGACCGAAATCGCAGATAGCAGCAAACCCTATATATGCTGTTTTTTCCTATGTATATATACCCATGAAGCTTAATTTATAAATTAGATACAGTAAGATATTAACAATAAGAATAACAAAATAGAACAACAATATACTGTAATAAAAGTTATGTGAGTGTGATCTCTCTCTCCAATGTCTTGTTATACTGTACTCACCTATTTTCAGACCACGGTTGACTGTAGGTAACTGAGATCATGGATGGGAAGAGTGCTGTATACCACTACATAATTCAGAGGGTTATTGTGAAGACGAGATTCTGCTCAGCAAAAAATGTCATCCATCACCATCATCATCATCATTTAGACATTTTTTCCCCTCATTTTAGTGAAAGATCTAATCCCAGCCCAAATAGGGTGAAATGAAATGTGATGCTTCACTCCCCTCTTGCTTTCCTCCTCCTCCTCCTCCTCCTGATGGGCCTGCCCTGCTTGCGGTCCCTTGCTCTTCCTTAGCTTGGGCAATCATGGTTAGAGTTGGCGGTTCACTCTTCCAGGGAGAGCGTGGCCAGGGTGCCGTAGGCACAGCCCTGGGCGGGGAGGTCACAGGGTAGAGGTGGGGGCGGGCTCTGCATGGGGCAGCTGTCCATCTCCTTTTGACAGCTCACAGCTCTGTCTCGGGTCCTGAAGGCTTAGAACAGCATCCGGACTGGGAAGCTCATCTTCTGGACCTGGCTGCCCAGGTGGTGGTCATCCCTGGCGCCTGAGCAGGGGCCCCACCCATGGCGGAACAGGCAAGGCCCAGAGTCTTGCTCACCCTCCCACAGATGGTCAGTTTTCCATCTGTGAAATGGGGCGTTGACCCAATGGCACCCTAGTTCATATTTCAAAGGGCACAGACAATGAAAACAGCAGATGTAAATTTGAATCCTGGCTCTGCCATTTGACCCACAGAGTCTGGGGTCTTACTTCTCCCAGAGCGGCAGCGAGACCTTAACAAGGTGATGTCTGAAAGAGCTCTGTGAACTGTTGCACGCTTCCCCCATTGGGGTTCCCCCAGCCCACTCCCAAAGCTCATGATTTGTGGGCACTGAGGGCCCCATCTCCTGCCCCCCACCCCATGAGGACCCCTAACTCCTCATGAGAAGTGAGGAAGGCCCCAGATAGCCACTCCCTGCTCTGCACCTGTGAGCCGTGCACGGAACCATCCAAGGGCAGAACTGGAGGGCAGGCCACGGCGGGAAAAGAGCCTGGGTTGGGGTCAGCTCCCTGAGCCTGCCCTGACCCACAGGGCCCAGCCTCTCCCGACTCACTTTCCTCCTGCTGCCATTACCGTACCTTTTATGAGCCTCGTTAAGTCTTTAATGATGCCTGGTTGTGCAGCTGGCTTAGGGCTTAATCCCCAGCAATAGGCCTTTATTGGATAAATGGCTAATAATCACTTGTCTGCAGGGATTGGGGCAGCTTCGCTGAGGCCCATGATCCCCGGGAGCCCCACGTGGTCTGTGACGTGGCCCTGGGCCCCACTGCCTGGGGTTGCGGTGCAGTGGGGCATGCACCCTCAGGGCACCACAGACGTGGGGGAGGCCTGGGCTCATAGGAGGGCATTCCTTCTCCCTGCTGGGAACGGAGGACACCTGTCTGTGGCTGTGGGCCTCTGTCCATCCGGACCAGGAGCAGGCAGCCCCAAAGATCTCTTCAAACGTGTCTCCACATGCTCCAGGGTTTGCTTTCCTTTCTTTTGCTGGGAACAAACTGTGTGAACTTGAGCAAGTCTCCTGACGCCCTGGGCCTCCGTTTCTGCATTTATCAAATGGAGAGGTTGGAAGAGTAGGTGCTGAGTGTCATGACTGCGTGAGTCCCAGCATCCCAGACAGAGGCTCTTCAGTCCGGCTCTCGGGCATATCACGGAGGGCTGTGAATGGCAAGGGACCCAGCAGTCCCGAGGATTAAGTGCTTAAGCTGCTGGGCAAAGAATTGGGTCAGCCGTAGTCACAGGGCAGTGTGTGTGAAGGGAATCCACAGAGCCAGGCTTGGCCCTTGATTTTATAGCCTGGCTTGGGGTTTCTGCCAGCTCTGGGCAGGACACACAGTAGGCATTAAAAAAACAAAGCCTCGTTGACAGGACTCTGGGAAGAGAAGGGGACTCCTCCAGGTGTAGAGTTGGGGAGAAGCCAGGAATTGCCCACAGGTGAAAAAGGAAGGGGCCTTGGATTTTGTTCCCAGCCTGTTTAGGCTTCATCGGTGGGCCTTCAACTTGGAATTGGCTTTGACTTTACAGTTGCGAAGGGATCCAGACCCATCTGCTCGAGGGTAGGCTGGCATTGGGGCCAGGGAGTCTCACAGACCTGGGCTTGGATGTCATTCCACCCCTCACTCATTTCCAGGCTGTCTGGTCTGGGACAACCTATCCCCACCACCCTCCAAGCCTGAGGTTCTTTAAGATAGCGTTAGCATCACCTACTTTTCAGCATGACCATGTGGGCTGGAAATTATGTATGTAAAGCACCTGGGAGCCTGCTTGCACTCAGTGCCAGTGATTACTCTGGGAGGAAGTTAATGTTATGGCACCTGCTGTATGCTTTGCATTGGTGTAAAATGCTCACTGCAGAAAGAGATGAGACCTAGTGTGGCTGGCATGACTTTGAATTCTTTTACCTGAAAATAAAACAAAACAGAGTACAAACAGAGTCATACGAATGTTTAGACTCAGAGGCGCTACCCCAAAACCTTCAGCTTCGGGATTGGAATCAAAGTCTGACTGAGGGACGGTTTCCCATGCTGCCCCAGAACTGACTGCCCGGCTCCTGCCTTCCAGCCCACGGCACTCCAAGAGCGTGGCACCGTCCCTGCCATGCAGCGGATGCTCCGAATGCCACATGGGTGTGGAAAGAAGAAACTGAATTTCTCTTTTCAAATAGGTGCGTGACCGGGTGCCTGCTCTGCTTTTATTTCAGATCTTCCCCGACCCGTCAGACTTTGACCGCTGCTGCAAACTGAAGGACCGCCTGCCCTCCATAGTGGTGGAGCCCACGGAGGGCGAGGTGGAGAGTGGGGAGCTCCGGTGGCCCCCCGAGGAGTTCTTGGTCCAGGAGGATGAGCAAGACAACTGCGAAGAGACAGCGAAAGAAAACAAGGAGCAGTAGAGTCCCTGCGGACAGGCCCCTGTGGGGTCACACCAGCCAGCATCTGTTCCTGAACTGTGTTTTTCCCATCATGGTGGAAGAAGAGAGTGAGCCACAGTAGTTCTGAAAATGTCAAACGAGGCTTCCGTTTTGCACCTGCAAATCACCGAGTTGGTTTTCTTTTCTTTGCTTGTCTTTTCTTGAAATCTGCCGAGCAGTGGAGCCCTCTGACGACTTGCAAGGCCTTCCGAGAAAGGGAGCTGCTTGGGGCTGGGGGTGGGGACGGGGGAGAGGGTGCTGTTTTTGAGATCATTATCTGAACTCCAGCGGGCAGAGGCAGTGGCGGGATTCCAGTGGGCCCTGGGGCAGGGGGTATGGGGGAGGTACAAAACCAGCAAGGAACATTTGGGGTAAGAAAACAAACTCGAGGCAAAAGAGAAAATACACAGTTTTAAGAAAACATTGAGCAGAGAGCTGCAGCCAGGAAGTGCTCAGCAACCACCCGCTCTGGCCATGGGAAAACCATCTTCATCTCTCTCCAGTCTCACCCACCCACCCTTTGCTCCTATTTCAGGTGTGTTGGTCTGTGTTGGGGAGGAGGATGAAGGACAGCCAAGCGACTGGCTGCTCGCACAGCCAGCTGGAGGGATGTGCAGGAAAGAAAGGCCACCGCCCCTCCCCAGGGCCTCTCTGCCCCCCGCTGTGGTGGGCTCAGCAGCCCCCAGATCAGGAGGTTTGTAAGAGGCAGTGCTTTTGAGCTTTTCTCCCTGACGTGTCCTTTTTGCCTCCTGCACGCTGGGGATTAGCAGAGCACTTCCTGCCCTTGTTGGAGGCCCCAAGGCAGACACCTGCATGTGGAGGTCCCTCCCTCCATCGCGCCTGCCCAGGCCTTGCTCTGAGAGTCAGAGGGAGGCTGGGAGCAGGCGGGCTCGCCTCCCTTCCCCGTGCCCCCAGCTTCCCAGCCCGCAGCCAGGCAGATGGATCCCACCGTAAGTCCCGCCAGCCTGGCCAGCTGTGCTCCCGCCCGTTCTTGCTCTGTGTTTCTTATGAAAGCTGAGACGCCCTTTTCTGTTTCTAGTTGGGGAGGTGAGCTTTCACCCAGGTCCCAAGAGCTGCTCGGCCTGAGTGTGACTTCGTGGGGGCGGCAAAGCTCGTGTAGCAGCCCTGGGATCAAGTTTGAGACTGAAGGGTGTCACGAGCCCCCCCTCCCCCCGCTGCCCCCATGTTGTTCCTGGCCACTGGTGTTCTAAGGAAGGTGTGGCGAGGGGATCCTGCTGTCCCCACTGAACGGTGGTCCTCCCCCTCCCACCTGCTGGACACGAACGTTGGCCTTTGGACTGAGAGCTTCTTACTGTAGTTAACAACCTTCTGGAGCGGCAGGTTGCAGGAAAAACTCTAAAGTCCATCTCAAAGCGGGACTGTGTGGCCAGGAGGTGGATTTAGAGCCGTGAGCCAGCCAGGGCACCCACTGCGACCCCTCAGGTCCCCAGTTGGTCCGGTTGACCCCAGTTTGGACTTGTGTGTATAGCTGTATCTAATACCTCAAGGGCAGTGTGGCTCTGGGGCGGATTGGGGCGGGGGTCAAGGGGCGCTGTTCATACAGCGTCAGCAGTCAGTAGGAGTCAGTTCTGGGAACGACTGTCGCCCTCACCCCTGCTTCCTCCCTCTGTTGTCTGCCTGTGTGACACACACCGATGATGGCAATAACTTCTTCCAGCTCCTCGCAGGAGTGGGAGAGGCCTGCAGCCTGCGCCGCGGGGAGGTTCTCTCGGCTCCCGCTCCCTTCTGTCCTGTCTGCGGAGAGTGGTTGGTCCTTACTCTCATCCCCTCGGCCCCCTTCGTGGACGAGGGGGCTTGCCTTTCAAATTCCCGTGTTTCGGTGTCTCCCCTCATCTGCTTCCCTGGATCATCTGTCCCGGTCTTGCCGTGTGATGGGAACGTGCTTGTAAACCGCGTAACAAATCTACTTTGTGTATATGTATGTTTATGGGGTGGTTTGTTTTTGCCAGTCACTAGACCCCTCTGTACGACCGTGTGCAGTCTGAGCAGGCCCGGGGCTGACGCGCAAGTCAGGAACCCCTGAGGCTGAGCTTGCTGGGGGCACCCAGCTGCTCTGGGATAAGTGGCTGAGCTCCTATCTGGCCTCCTCTTTTTTTTTTTAAGTAATTTGTGTGTATTTCTAACTGATCGTATTGAAAAAAAAATCCTAGTATTTCAGTAAAAACGCCTGTTGTGAAATGAACCTCCTGTAACTTCTATCTGTTCTTTTTTGAGGCTCAGGGAGAAACTAGCATTTTTTTTTTCCAAACTACTTTTTGTCACTGTGACAGTTGTAAATAAAGTTTGAAAATGCTTTCCACTCTGGTCTGGTTTCCTTTCTTCCAGCTCCACTGGAATGGAGTGAGCTGAGGAGCCTGGGGAACTCTTGCCCAGGCTGCACTGGGGCAGTCCCAAGGGAGCTTCCTTATGTGGCTTGCCTGCTGGCCCTTCAAGGTGAGCCTGTCCATGATTTTTGGTCACCTGGCTGGATGAAAGCAGCCTTTCTTTTCTTCTGTGTCAGTGGTTATCAATTCTGGATACATATCACAATCGCCTCCAGAGCTTTGAAAACAAAACACCACCGCCATTGGGGACTTAGATCCAGAGACTTGGATTTCGGGGATCTGGGGTGCAGTCCAGGCATTAGTATTCTAGAATCACCTGGGGAGATTTTAACCTGCAGCCAAGGTTTGAACTGCCTTTTCAAAGGAAGAGAAACCCGAGAGGCATTGTAAGGTCATTCACAAAGGCTGTGGGACAATGACTGGGCACATAGAGAGTTCAAGCCATCACTTGAAGCATTTAATGAGCGCCCACTACTTGGCAGGCATTGGTGAGAGGCCAGGGGAGACAGAATGGCAGTGGGCCTGGATCTCATGACACTTGCCTGCCACCCCCCACTCCTACGGAGGGGGCAAGACAGAGCCCAGAGACCAAGAAGGAGGTTTCATTGAGGTCGGCATGAGAGAAGGTGGTGCTTTGTAGAAGGTTATTTTGGGACATCTTTCTAACCCAAGGCTGTTTATTTTTGCCTTCACTCAGCCCTCATCTGGGGTCTAACTGTGGTGAGAGTAGAAAATCAAGTGGTCTGTGCTGAGGGTGGCCCCCAATATTAATAGAATATCAGTCCGTTTTAACAGTTGTTTTAGCGAAGCAACTAGATCTATGGATCTGCTGTGCTGAGGATAACTGGCAGGACTTGACCACCACGTGTTAGGTCGTTCCTCTATTTCCCTGCAACATCCTGAGGATGGAGTTTCCCAGAATGCAGCCTTCTCGAACACAGCCCCTCAGAAAACAGTCTTATTTGCAGAAAATTCTATGAAATAGAATTTCACACACACACACACAAAACTACTAGAACTAATATATGAGTTTAGCATGGTTGCAGGATCTAAGCTCATTATTTGAAAGTTGATTATATTTCTATGTACTAGTAATGAACAAATGGAAATTGAAATTTAAAATACCACTTACACAAGCATCAAAAAATATAAACTACTTAGGAATAAATCTGACAAAAGACATATAGAATCTATTCCATGAAAACTATAAAATCTGCTGAGAGAAATTAAAGAAAACCCACATAAACGAGAGGTCTACCATGTTCATGGATCTGAACCTGCTGATGTTAAGATTTCAGTTCTCCCCAAATTGATCTATAGATTCAACACAATCAAAATCTCAGCAAGCTTTTTTGTTGACATTGATAACCTGATGCTGAACTGCGTATTGAAATGAAAAGGACCTAGAACAGCCAAAACAGGTTTGAAAAAGAAAAATGAAGGGCTTGCAATTCTCAATTTTTTTCCTATTGTTTTCTTCTGAGTCAGAACTTGACAATCAGCACAGTGTCTCTGTCTACCCATCAATAAGTTCATCACCTGTGCAATTCTCAATTTTAAAACTTATTATGAAGCTATAGTAATCAAAACAATATGGTGTTAGCATCAACATAGACAAATAGGTCAATGGAACGAATTGAGTCCAGAAATAGGCCCACATGTGGGGTTGACTGAGTTTTGACAAAGTTGTCAAGGCAATTCAGTGGAGAAAGGTTAGTCTTGCCAACAAATGACCTGGAACAACTGGATACCCATAGGCAAATAGTCCCTGGGGATGGAAACACTAGTCTTCACTTTAGTCTCCCACTGTCCCCGTGTGACTTTCTAAACAAAATAATTATTTGCTTGGAAAAGAATTCCTTCAACCTTTTTCATGGTTGGCCAATTGCTTCAATACCGCCCCACTTCACTCCAAGTCCTCCCCTTTCCCTGGTGTGTTGTTCAGACTGACTTGCATTCCAGTCCTGTGCATCCCTGTGCGTTGGAGCCAGTTTCTCAATGTCAGGATCCTCAGCGTTCTTGTCTGTAAAATGGAGACAAGACTAGTACCTCCTGCACAGGGGTGTGAAGATTGAGCACTCAGTAGGGACTTCACAGGTCAGGGTTTTTTCTATCTCCCCCTTGAAGATCTAGGGACTAGGAACTAGCCTCTGCTTCGCCCCTCTGCTTTTTGCTCCAGGTCCCTTGCGCACACCAGATTCAAAGGTCGCTTCAAGGTGAAGACCTCCTCCTACCCTCAAATGCAGCTCCCTTAGTCACCCCCTTTTGCTCACCCTGAGAGAGGAAGTGCAAGGAGAAGGGAACTTTAATGCCTTCTGCCCGCCAAAATATTGGCAAGGGAAGAGAAAGATGTCTCTCATCAAGATGGGTATATACCGTGTTTCCCCGAAAATAATTCCTACCTATAAAATAAGCCCAAGCAGGATTTCTAAGCATTTGCACAATATAAGCTCTACCCCAAAAATAAGACCTAGTGATGGGTGTGGCTACGCAGCGTATCTGCACAACCCAAGCATTTTATAGTAGAGTGGTAAAGAAGACGAACAGCCCTTTTTATCTGCCCCCTGGTGACAGCTACTTTCCCAGAGGTGACTGGAAAGGTACGGGCAGCCTCCCCGTCAGGTCCCGGCCATCCTGTGCATGCAGCAAGCTGAGGCTTTGAGAGGAAAATAACATATCCCCTGAAAATAAGCCCTAGGGTGTCTTCTTGAGGAAAAATAAATATAAGACCCTGTCTTATTTTTGGGAAACACGGTAGCTCTGCCAGGCTCCTCTTTAAAGAGGTGATCCTTGGGTAGAGATCTATTTGAAAAGATGATTGAGTTTTGTGTAGATTGGGAAGAGATTCCCGGTCGGGGAGAGAGCAAGTGCAAAGGCCCTGTGGTAGACATTGGCTCAGCCTTTTTGAGTAATGTCTACAAAGCTAGCATGTCTAGAGTAGAAAGAAAAAGAAGCAGCAGAGACCAGATACCTTGTGGGTCCTAGAGAGGAGGATGGGTTTTAGAATCACGACTGCCCACCACACATCCCAGCCCCTCCAGAGTTGCCTGGCTGGGGGCGTGTGGCAGCCGGTATGGATGGACCTGAGGCCCTGTCACATCTTGAAGGGGCTTCTAGATCATCAGAGAGGGATTAAATTAGGTAGAATTCAGTTTGTACCTCTGTCCTCAGATTCCTGAGGGGTGATGATAGGTAAGAGCATGGCTGTGAGGCTGGACTCCTGGTCTGTAGCTCAGCCTGCCTCTCTTGCTACCTGTGTGACCTTGGGCAAGTGACTTTGCTGCCCTCACTTTCCTCATCTGTAAAATGAGTTCCTACCTTATAGGGTTGTGGTGACATTTAAATGTATCATTACAAGTAACATGCTTAGAACTGTACCAGCCACATAAGTGCTCAAGAAATGTGAGCCATTGTGGGAGACAAAATAATGCTCCCCCACCCCCCAACAGATGTCCACGTCTGAATCTTAGGGACCTTTGACTATAAGTTACCCAGCAAGGGGGATTTAAGGTTGCTAATCAGCTGCCCCTGGCCCGGGGAGAGCCTGGATTATCCAGGAGAGCCCCACTGAATGGCAAAGCCTCCTTGTAATAGAGGAGGCAGGAGAGTGAGTGTGAGAGTCAGAGATTTGAAGACGAAATGCCGTTGACTTTGAAGACAGGGAAAGGGGCTGCCAGCCAGGGAAAGCAGGCAGCTCCGGGAGCTAGAAAAGGCAAGGGAATGACTCTCCAGAGCCTCCACAAGGAGCGCAGCCTTGCCAGCACCTTGACTTTGGCCTAGGGACACCCATTTTGGACTTCTGACCTCCTGAACTTTAAGATAATAAATTTGTTTTAAGCCACTAAGTTTGTGGCAATTTGTTCCAGCTACGATAGGAGACTAACACAGCCACTATTATAACTATGCTAACAATGGCGACACAGACTTAGTCCACATGGCCTCTGCGAGGGTGGTAATGAACGGAAGGGGCTGCGGGGGGAGGCCATGGGCCAGCAGTCAGCACCCACTCCTTCCTAAGGCTCAGCGTCTTCTCTGGGTGTCAACAGGCAGGGCGATCTGTCAGTTGGAGGGCGCACCTCTGCTCCGGGATCAGATAAATTTGAGGCTGTAAAGCATTTATTCTACTGATTCGTGTATGATACATTCATCAGCATAGTCTCTGAATCAGAATATTCTTTAGGCTACTTCCTTCAAAATCTGTTCACATAAACAGAAGGTCCTACATTGAAATGCAATGCATTTGCAATATTTCCTTTGCCATTTCCAGTCAGAAAAATGTGAATTCACTCTTTTATGTTGTTGGCTGCCATTTGTAGAGCACTGGTTTACCTCTATTTCTTCTATTTCTCACAAGACTTCTGCAATGTGTGGGTTTTCATATAGAAGATGTTTTTGTTTTTGCATAAACTACATTTAGCAAGGATGGAAATTATCAAAGATGGTGGAATTTGGGGACTTCATCTTTCAAATCTCATCACAATAGCAAATCAATTATTTGCATTTTGGTTTTCTTCCAGGCGTTTTTCTCTATACTTACCAGAATGCACTCAATGAATATAATTTTTTCCTATGAAGTGGGCATTTTTAATGTTGTTTTATAGATGGGGAAGCTGGGTCAGAGGGCTTCAAAGTATACTGACTTTGGAACCAGAAAGAGAATTAGAATCAATGGTGTGCTGATAAATGCATAACAACCAGCTCTTGGGAGGGGTTGACGATTTGTAGCATCTGGCAATTTCCATGGTGTAAATGCTCCCGCCATGGGTGATTTTGTGGAATTGGAATGAGATGGGAGCCAGTATATGCCTGTTCCAGCATACCTCTAGAATCCCTATCCTCCACTTCTAAGCTATGAGAACATGGGCTCAGCTTCTCTGAGCCTCAGCTTCCTTTTCAGCAAAATGAGTATAATTCGAAAACAAAGCAGTGCCTAGTTCAGAGGGATTCTGTAAACTCGAGTGCCTTTCCTTCATTT